GCAATGACTAATGCTGGGGCTCCGCAGCCGGGAAGGGGCCCGCCCTCCCACGCCTGGCTGCCCGGCTCCGCTCCTTCGCCTGCCTCCCCTGGGAAGCCACGTGCCCAGCGCGCACACAGCACAGCCCACGCCTCGCTGCGTGGCTCTAAGATACACTGAAGCTGCACCCGGGTGCACTTGGCCTTGAGAGGGCGTCATCGAACCCGGCTCTACTCTCCGAAGCAGAAGCAGCGGCCAGAAGGTTAGCTGCTGGCTTTGACCCCGCGCTGGACGTGCGAAAGCCCAGGGAGTCCTGGCGTGGGCCGCCAGCGTCTGTTTTCATCTCAGGGGCTGCTGGGTTTGGATCTCTGTGTGTTTTTTTCTAGACAGAGGGGACCCTCTAATTCTTGGGGCTGGAGGGGAAGCTGGGACGGAGAGAAGTGACGCGACTTAGGAGAACAGTCTCTTCTCATGAGCCGTGAGACAGCTCGGGAAGCTGTGAGAGTGGGCGCGCGTGCCTCCCGCACTCACATCTCCGGCAGCTCCCTGCGGCTCTGCTCTGTTCTTTGCCATTTGCCTCGCAGAGCAGTAACTTCGCCGTGTGTTAGCGTTTACTCAGAGGCAGGAACTAGGCCGAGCGCTTGGCAGGCACTGCCTTCCTTGGTCTTCAGAATAGTGCCTGCTGCCTAGGGTGGGTACCACACCCATTTTACAGACGAGAAAACCGAGTCTCTGAGAGGTTAAGTCGCCTGCTGAAGGTCACACAGCCACGGAGGACAGAACTGGGGCTTCAAACCTAGGTCTGTGACTCCAGAGTCTTTTCTCATAACCGTTTACTACGCTGTGTGCCAAAACGGAGGGAGACATGACTGGAATAATGAAGACATATCATTTATGTCATTAAAGGAACAAAGAGGTCTCCATTTTAATAAAAAGACTAAAGATGAGAAAGTGTGAGGGGGAAGCAACAGAGAATCAGCAGAGATATAGAGAGTGGGTGTCTTTCAGAGCATCCAAGGAACTGGTTTTCACATCCTTCCAGAACTATCTTCAGCTCCAGATTTATGCTAAGGCCACACCAAGTGGAGATGAGCTTATGAAAAGTATGAGGGCTTCTTATGAAAGGACATTTGGATAAAGAACTTCAGTTCCTGCTAATAGACTCTTCATTCCACTACAAACACATGAAACACTGGATAAAATAAGAAAAAAATTAATTAAATACACCACTAACTTGGAAAGAACGGGAAACCCCCAGGTGCCAAAAGTGAGGAGAGAACTCAGACCCAGCAGGGAGAGAGTTCCAGATACTGCTGAGGTGGTCCTGGGGTATCACAGTGGTTATAGGCTCTAACAGCCAAGGGTGGGGGGCTTCTAGCCCACTGATTGACAGAAGTGGCCTTGGGTCGGCATAAGCTAGGAGTGAGATTCCCATCAAAAGCTGAAGCACAAAAGGCTGTTTGTCCATGTAAGGTGGGACAGAAAAAATATTCCCACTGGCCCAAAGAGTCAGCAAGCAAGCTGAATCTGCTGAAGAGGTGGCAGGGTACAGAGCAGGGGGCTAGGCCTCCATGATGAGTCAAAACTCAGCCTGTGCCATGCACGGGTGAAAAATCCAAACATTTGTGGTGCAGGAGAGCCAAACTGAGAATTTACGTAAAAAGTGTTTCCAGTCCAGTGAAAGCACCAAGGTACCTAGCTCAATAAAAGCAAAGTACTGTGTGAGGCACTGCTATAACCCAGGGTACACGGGATTCTCACAGGGGAGGTACTTTGGGTAAGCTCATCTCCGCTGGTTTGGACTCAGCATAAATCTGGAGCTGAAGATAGTTCTGGAAAGGCGTGGAAGCCAGAGGGAGACAGCACAGTCAAAGATGAGCTCATAATAAAAAACCAAACCACACAAGCAAATGAACCATCACATGGGAGAATCAGCAGACACAATGAACAAAAGGATCGGCACCCCAAGTAAGTGAAACAGAAGAGACTATGTAGTAAGCTTTAAGTTATTGCAAGTTATTACACACACACACAGAAAGAAAAATAGCAGTATCCTATGACCAAAGTAGTGAATTTGAAAATCATATAGAACTTATACAAGGTTTTTAGAAAGTCATTGGC